TTTTTTTTTTTTGTTGAGTTGTATGCTTAGGTGGCGATTATATGGCATAATTGTAAAAAATATGCTGACAAGGGGATTCGAACCCATGTCCAATGGGGGAGTAAAAGAGCTCATGGACCACTTGAGCTAGCATACAATTTGTTAACTATCTAACTTTAATTATATATCTACCAATATCGTTTTATCTAATTTATATTTTTCAATTTGAACTACTTTTATATTTTAATAATTTTTTTATAGTAAATAAATAGTATTTAATTATTTTCTAAATAAATATTTAACGTATTTAATTAAATTAATTTAAATATTAAATAAATATTTATAAAAGAAATGAATGAAATAAATAATATAATAAATAATAAAATTTAACAAATAAATAAATATATTAAATAATATAATAAATAATATTACTTACGAAAAAAATAAATACATTAAATAATATAATGTATAATATTTACCAAATAAATACATAAACTAAATAGTATAATAAATAAATAATTATTTACTAAATAAATATGTAAATTAAATAATATAATAACATATATAAAATAAATATAATAAATAATATGATCAAATTTTATTTCTATATTAAAATATTCAATAAATAATAAAATATATTAAATAATGTAATAAATAATATATTTAATAATATAATTAATTTTTATTTGTGTATTAAATAAATATTGATCCAATAAATAAATATATTAAATAATATAAGAAATAAACAAATCTTTGCTAAATATATACATCTATCAAATATTAAATATATTTATTAAATAATACTAATAAGTAAATATAATAAATAATATGATAAGTAATAATATTTACCAAAATAATATATATTAAGTAATATAATAAATAATAATATTTACCAAATAAATAAATATATTAAATTGAATTAGTATATTGAATAATATTTATTTACTAAAATAATATTTAGTAAATAATTTGTTTTAAATAATATTAATTTACTATTAATAAATAAATATATAATTTGGTAAATAATATTTACTAAATAAATATTAATTATTACTATACTATTTAATAATATTAAATATTAATAAATATATCAATTATATTATTTAATATATTATTTAACATTCTTAAATAAAAATTAAATAATTTATTAACTAAAAATTATTTAGTTTATTTAATTAAAAATTATATAAGTGAAAATTATTTGAAATTGTATTAATATTTAATATTATTAAATAAATTATTTAATATTATTATTTATTATATTTTATATTACTATTTAAATATTGTTTCAAAATTAATTTAGTATATATTATTATTTATTATATTATTTACATATTTATTTATTATATTATTTAATATATTTAATTCTATGGGTAATATTATTATTTATTATATTATTTAATATATATTTTTTTGGTAAATATTTATGTAATATAAAAATCAAATTTATTATACTATTTAATTTATATTTAGTTAGTTTTTAAATATTTATTTATTTATTATACTATTTAATATATTATTTTATTTGGTAATTATTATTATTCAATGTATTATTTAATATATTTATTTATTTGGTAAATATTTACTTTAAATACAAATGAAATATAATTATAATATTTAATATTCCTATTTACTATATTATTGAATATGTTTATTTAGTATAATTATTTAATTTATACATTTATTTTATAAGTAAGTTATTTTACAAATTATTATTATTTTATATTTGTATTACTATTATTATTATTATTATTATTATTATTATTATTATTATTATTATTATTATTATTATTATTATTATTATTATTATTATTATTATTTGATAAAAAGATTTTGAATTGTTGATAGATAAATATATTTGAAGTCAATTTTCTAACATATTTTCTTGTTGGTCCAGCGGCTAGTCGGCCTTATTTGTGCATGAGAGGTGCGGTGTTCGAATCCTCTTGGGGTCAATTTTTTTGATAATTTGCCACTTGTGCCACGTCAGCAAAATAAAAAATAAAAAATAAAATGAATTTCCACGTAGGCGTAACAGGTCACTGTGACCTGCTGTAGGCGGTCAGAGGACCAAAAAACTAATTTTTTTTCAGTTAGGGGACTATTTCTAAAAACGATCTATTTACGGGACCAAATTGAAAACGACCTGCAGATAAAGGACCAAATTTTTTTTTTTTTTTCCAGCGACTTGAATTTGAGGCAGCTGCTATTTTCCGGCTAACGACCTCTCAACGATCGCAGGTGTTGGTAACTGGTCAAATCAATTAATTTATTTTTTAATATAATTATAATATAATTATTTGTTATATAATTAATGTAATTACTATTGATTTATATGAGTAATTGATCTATTCAAAATCAATAGTATGATTGAATCCACGTACTTATTTTAAGTAGTGAACTTATTGGATCCACCCATATATATGTACGCAGGGACAGAGGGAGAGGAGGTCATGCCCCCCCCCCCCCCCCCCCC